TGAAGGGGAGGGGAGTTGTTTGCTAGCGCTAACAGGCTTCACTTTTCCAGCAGGTGGGAAAACAACAAAGGAGGACAAACTTTTCTTAGTCTTGAGAAGCTGACACGCTGTAACCGACACAGTACATTTACTGCCAGAATATTTTCCTCCACTCGCGTTCACCGTCACTTTCTGCCACTCGGACAATCAAACACTCACTTTGCACCTCCCGATTGCTTACAGGAGTTATGCTGCTCACATAACACCATCTGTCACGTAGATGTTCTGCATAGAACAATGATAGGAAGCTAGCCAAGTATTGAGTGCTGCCGCGTGCGAGTGAAAACATTTGTAGCGCATAGTTTAATGATCGTGGGAAATTTTAGTAGCGGCAGTCATGATTCAATGCATATAGGGGAAACACTGGAGCAGAAAGTTGCTCCGTCTTTGACTGCAACAAGACAGAGCCGGTGTTTCGGTTTAACGAGTGGCCCTGTTAACTGGTGACCGTCAGCCGAACGTGTCTGGGGTTGTCGTAGATACGACAGCTGTTGAAAACAGGAAGCGAATATGTAGCTGTCCCCGCGAATGCCTCTTTCTTTACCCACAGATCAATCAGGGGAAATGTGGGGAAAATAAATCAAAGTCGGATCGATATTCCACTAGCCTACGCTGTCATCACCTCTCACTCTGCTGTCGGCGTGGGATAAAACAACTTCTATAGCATACAGCCAGCCATCACTCTTTAAAACAGGAGATACAGATCAAGTTGTGGCCACACTGTATGTGTTAACCAAGACCATGTCTGTATTTTACTTGTTCCCTTCACAACCAAGCCGTTTAACACAGAGTTGTTTACAAGAGGTCACTGTTTTCTGAATCAATTTAAAGCTCTTTTATTGACCGAGTAGTGCCCACACATGCTGCATTTTCCCAAGCATTTCTGAAGGATCAGTTAGTGACGCCACCGTACGTGCAGCCGGCGGAAGCACTTCAGTGTGACGGTGACATCACGTACTGATCCTTGGGCTGACGTCTGCAACTTTGCTGCAGTGGAATAAAGACACGCGATTGAGTTTACTTTCTATTGTTGTTGCTTGGCCATTGCTTCCCCTAGTGAGGAGGAAACTTTGATATGTAGTGGCAGAAATTTCTCTCTCTCTCAGGCCTATTGCCATGAATGTTTATGTTGTTTAGGTTGCCAGAGCACAAATTTACATATAAACAATAAGATATATTAATTAATAAACACTGAAATTACATTATAAAAACTAAAGAGGAATAAAACAACAAACACAATATAGGCTTATGGTACATTGAAAATATGTCTTGCTTTTTGACAAGCAGTAGAATTTTTCAATGGAACAATTATTAAAATAACAATATTAATGATGATAATAATGTGAAAATTAAGTTACTTTATACAAACAACAGTGGTTCTCAGTTTGTTGAGAATAAAATTGGTATCGAAAAAAGTATCATTCAGGAACCGGTGTCAAAGTATCAAATCTTAACAATACCGAGCCCGAGTCCTCATCTGTCATCCTATAGGCTATGTTATTTACTAGCACAGCTAATGTTAACTAGGCAATTACCCAAATGTTAATGTTTCCTGCCATTGTAAGGTGGTGAGACTCAAAACTGCTTGGTGCTGCACAATGAATGTGTAGAGATTCAAAACTATCCAAATGAATTTTCACAGATCTAATGATTAGAATTCAACCCCAGTAGACATATTTAGCAATCTTAGTTTTTGGGGTGTAGTTTATTATTGTCTCTCTGTTTGCCCCTGAGTTTATCCATCAGCAGTAGGTTAAGTATTCTAAATGCCAGCTTGTTAATTACATAGCTTATCAATGTCATCGTGCATCCCGGTGTTTCATTGTTGACATTGTCCGATGCCAATTTTGTAGACATCACTTTTCCCTAATTTGAATACATTGATTTACTCGGCAAGCAATTTTGTGATTGCAATTTATTTTAAAGTTGTGATATAGGTTTTAAATTTCAAGTTCCTAAATTTGACCAGGTGAAACTGCAGAAACCCTGATATAGTTCCATTACCTTGTCTACCTGACTTAACAATTTGCATAGTGTGGAACTTCATATTTTCCACAATCTTTATTAGCTATCTTTATTTGCTTATGATTCCATAAAACTCCACATTTTAAGCTCCCTTTTATATTATTTAAATAAAAGTGCTGCTGATGGAATAAAATTATGCATAGTCGCTTTTTCCACAAAACACAGTAAAGTAAGTAGGAAGGAAATTTTATTTGGCCCAAGATTTAAGTTATATCTTAAAACCAATAAATCTGATTAAGAATCTGGAAATAGAGAATGTTCAACATTTTTGCAAAAAAGAATGAAAACAAATTGATTAGCAAAATTGTTACTGGTTAATTATCTGAAGAAGCAGTCCATTACTTAGTCTGTTCAGCTTTATGCAAGATGTGCCTTATTTTGTGTCTGTTAAATGTAGAAATGACGGAAGATGTTTAAGTTTATGATACAAATAAAGGAAACTTGAATTGTAATAATGGAGTTGTATTTGTATTTTTCAGGACTACTATCTGAAAGTGGGCATTTTGTAAATTTCAAGCTCACTAGTAGAAATTTGTTGAGTGAGTTTCCATTAGTATTTTATTTAAATTGAGGTTTACTCAAACATATTCTTACCACTTCTATAAAAGTTCGAGGTAATCAGTTTCCACAAATATTTTGAGTATTCTGAATTCTATTCTTATTCAGGTTTACAGTGTTAGCAAATTTTGAGATCTTTACTTTTTCTATATTTCTGTTTATGTGTACTGTGTAGCCAATATACCAAGGCAAATTCCTAGTATGTGAAAATGTACCTGACGATAAACCTGATTCTGAATATTACAGGCAGCATTGTGTCTTGTAACTTTGATCATGGAGGTGACACTATAGAGAGTATGCTACAATATAGTATAGAACTGAGTATTAAAGAGAGAGAGAGAGAGAGATCCTACTTCAGCACCACGGACAGCGTCACCACCCCTCGTCCCCCTCAATCTGCTTACTGGCAGTTTATTGAAATAATTTGATTTAAAACACCACATTCTTTTGGCTGATTAGCAGGAAAAAGGAGCAGATTTCGAGCAAGTAGTAGTATGGAGTAAAAGTAGTTCATATTTGTGCAAGTACTAGTGTAAGAAGTACTAAGTCCAACAGTACAAGTGTACTTGCAAAAAATGGGTTTTAGGCCTACATCCAAGTTGGCAAACAGGCTTATTCTTCTCTAGAAGTGACTTTGACATAATCAAAATTACTCAAAGACTACATGGTAAAAGTAGTTCAAAGTATTTATGCATGTTGTCTAACAAGTAGGCTACTAATTTCATCAGTCTAAGTCTCATTAGCATTCGATTTAGGGGGCGAAGGTTGTTTGGGTATATTGTAATGAACTCAACCACTTGGCTTTCCCTTCATTTTTCAATGAACACTCATTGGTCTGTTGCTTAAATGGAAATGAAAACCCCACGCCATCTTTTACTTTGAAAGCCGAAAGTATTCCTTTCCAAGAATAAATAATGTTAACATATTTCTGTAACATTCCCATACCACGTGAAATTATGGAGCCATGTGTTTTTACAGTACCTCAAATATTACAAAGGAAGCCATTTCAAGGTGCACTTTGGAAAATCTCTAAATTGATACGGTCAAAATGGATAATTTTCGGTCTGTATGTAGTCAGTTATCCTGAACTCAAATCGGGTTAATTTGTCTTTCCAGCCAAAATCAAATAATCAAGTAATTTCCGATCACATTTTAATGGATTACTTTTAACACAGGTAAAATGTTTTATACTTGTAAATGTAATCAAATGAATCTTATTTCCACACATACAGTATGTCTTACTTAGTATGTACCCTATGTTAACACCTTATTTTGAAAACTGCTAGCGGCTACCTTAAAGATCAGAATAGGTCTATATAAGAGCACACAGTGGCTGGTTTGACCAGGACTTGCGAATGACGGCTCACTTGACTGCCGTCTCTAACTGCATGGGGCAGATAGCCTATAAATACACACACCTGTAAAATCTAATGCAATCCAATAGCCTACATCAGGTCCCAGGTCAGCCATGGATTCTACCATTACAAAGATAAATGTATTGAATTGTATGAGAGATTTAACTGTACGTTTGTGATTGACGTAGTTTGCAGTGATGTTGGCGTGGACTGAATTATAGTGAGAGGCAATTCTAGTGGTTTGCCCACCCCACTTACAAACATGAAGGGGAAAGAATATTAGAAAGTTTTACCAAAACTGGCCATTATAATTTCAGTAAAAGTAAAACTATGTGACAGAGCTGTTGTAATGGATTGCATTAGATAGTGAATAAAAGTGTGTGTGTATAATATATCAAGCCTGTTGTTCAGGGTATTGTCTATGCTTGAAATAATGCAGCCACTAGAGGGCATAGGTTGAGACTTTCCCTTGTCACACAAGTCATCTGGTTTTATTTGTGATATCTCAGACATTGGTCTCTGGTCAAACCAAGGCTGCTTGAAGGCTCAATGACCGTCCAAGTTCTACCTATCCTTCTATTTCACCTCTCCTCTGACCTGAACATGCAGATCATACAGTAATGTGTCAACATACCACCATAACCATGCCAAAACAGCCTTAATGAACAAGGAGCACAGCAGGAGGTGACAGCCTGTTTGGTTTTTGCACTGATTATACAGTATGTAGTTCTCTACACATTATTTGTCCATAAGTTCTCCACCACATTTCTATTTCTCATTAGACTGAGCTGATATCAATACATCCCATTTTTCTGACGTGTACACATTTGTCTTCCTTATATTTTGGCCAGGGAAACACCTATTGTGACAAACCCATGTTTGTCATCACTGCTTTGTGTAGCTTTCAAGTGATTAAGTGGTACAGCTGAACTAGCTGACTCATACATATACAGACACACAAACCAGTCAACTGATCATGAAACAATTACATATGCAGCTCAGAAGAAACACAGGCGTGGGAAATAGTGAGCTGATGTGGTGTCACACCCTTTAAAGCAGAAGTTTATTGAACAGAGGTTGTGCAACAGACATTTGAGGTACATGATATGAGTTATAGCAGAGGGGGGCAACTCAAAGGGAAATCTGCACCACTGAAACTTCCAGATATGAGAATATCTATGGTTGGACATGACAGTGGAGCACAACCCATTATTTTGTGGCAGATACAATGGTACGCAGATACAATATTACAGACCAAAATCTCTATTTCTCACATACAGAATCCGTATTTACTGACATTCAGAGTGATTATGGTTGTATAAAGCAAGAACGGTACTTTGGCCATCAAAGGAATGCTGTTTCCCCCTTTCTTTCACACAACAAGTCAGATGTAGCACCAACATGAACAGAAATGAACATGCTTGAACTATCTACGGAATAAACACCCCAACAATGTTGTTGCCGCCCCCCCCTCTGATACAGGTCAAGTCCAAGTGGAAGCCTTGCATATTTCCTGTTTCACGTCTCACTGAGTTGTTTCTCCAGTAAAACTGTGGGCATCATCCACAAAAATGCTAATTTGTCGTTGCCCCCCCCCCCAACCTTGCTGTATGCTTTCTCCTTCGTTCCAGGCTCCCTAACTGCAGAGGTATAGGTGATGGATTTGTTTGTTTTATTTTGTCCAGTAATCCTGAGGTATATGAAATACCACTGATGTAGAATGTGACTGAAGAAGTAGAGCAAAATAGATTTAAAAAAAAAAAAGGGAGGAAAGGAGACATGCTATCTAAGCAAACTGTCAAACTGTACAAAGAACATTTCCAGTCGAATACTCATTTCATGTTCTTCTATCACCATCTACTTCGTTTTTCTGAATGTATCTCTTAAGCAGTAAAATAATTATATTATAATACAAATGTTTATAAAATAGCAGCACACTCAAGTGACACATCACAACTAGGTAATGTTATTTTTTTGTATAAATGAAACAAATTCATAGCTTTTAGCAGCGCAAAAAGACAACAAATACTCAATAAAAATATTGACACTTTTTTCTTGATGTCTTCACCCCTCCTCCTCTGTCCTCTCTTCACTTTGGAATACAGTATCTCTAAGTCTTAGAAAAACCCTTTTGCGGGTCTGGTCACCCCGTAAAATAAATCAAACACAAATTGAAAAGGTGGTCTCAATATAAAACACATGCAACAATAAATTGCAGGAAAGAAAATCACAACCGTTAAGTTTGGGAGAGAGCTTTCATCAGGCAAACAGAGGCAAAATGAAGGGGTCATATCAAATATTCAAACAGGGATGTTTCGGCAAATATGTCATTAAATTTCCCATTTTTACTGAAAATCATCAAGAAAACATTAGATCCCCTCATTTTTCTTCAGTCTGACAAACATACACTCAGCAAAGTCACATACCGTCATGAAAAAACTCAAGCATTAAGTCAAAGACACCTTATCGTGGCAAAGCCATGTGTCCCGTTTAAACAAAATAAAACAAAAATCTGTCTCTTGTTTTGTGCTGACGTCTGGCTGTTGAACCCCCCTTGCCAATGATTTGAAGCAGCAAAGCTCACAGGGGACAGATGTGTTCACTGACAGACAATCGGCCCGAACTACACAAGCCAGCACCATAGAAAACTGACCAACCACTGCAACACACATAAGTTAAGGTGGTTTAGAACAAAGGCTCTGCTCTGTCTTAAAAATGCAAACCTCATTTCCCTCAGAGGAACATGTGCAAATACTGGATGTTATGACCACCCTTTCTTGTAGCTCATCGCGGCCCTGTGTGACTGTCTGTGGCTGTGACGCAGATACATATGACGAAAAATTCAAGTAAAAACAAATATTTCATTTCTTGACAATGTAAAAGAAAAACAAACCGAACCCACGGATCAGTGAGCTCTGTGTGTAAGCATTTTCCAATTCATATTGGCGTGTTCGATTTGTTCAAATTCTCTGAAATAGTCAGACTCCCCGTCAACTTGCACTTTGCTTGAATAGGAATGTTTTTTTTTTGATCGGAATGTCCTCTCGTCGTAAGGTGTGGAAAGCCTTTTTAATTTGACTCTTGATTGACAAGGGTATGTCTGATGATTGGGAAACCAGCCCTACAAAGTAAACCAAAGAAAAGGCTAACAAGGGAAAAAAAAAAGAAAACATCCATTCACCTCCAATCACCACCCAACGCATTTCACTTTACTTATCTCCAGGGGAGCATGTTTTCAAAGTGCTTTGCCATTGAAATCATATAGGGGAGCTGAAAACAACCCTATGTGGGACTCCAGATGCATTGACAGTATATTATCATCCTGTACTCTTCTAAACCCCCCCCCCCCCGAAAGTTCATCCTCACATGATCTGGCAGCGTACACTCTTGGTTCCTTATTTAATTTCTATGTAAATGGAAACCCAGAATGTTTTTTTTTTTGTTTTTTTACACTGCTGCGTCATTGTAGACATCCATTGAGCAAAAATAAAGTGGATACCATCCAAAAATGTAGATATCAAAGTTTTATCGTGAGGCCTTTGGGCATCTTGTATTCGTTTATTATCTTCCAGCCCACTGGCTGTAAATCCTCCCCGTCTCCTACACAGCAGCATGCTCCTGCACCACTAAAATCCTCCCTGCCCTTCCAACCTGCGCTGTGCACCCATGTGCCTTCCACAGTGACTTCTTGGTTGCAAACAGTCCCTCTCTTTCCAATTCTTTCCATGCCACACCCTGTTCCTAAAAACAGAGGAGTCGAACTTCCTCCAGACTTAAAAAGGCATGGCCTCACCTTCTTCAAGATATCGCCTCTCCTGTTAAAACGTGCCGCACATGTGAGAGGTCATTACTACTCTGTTCAGACTCACAGCAGCCTTTCACAACTAAGGAAATATAGCGTAACAACGTGAAAAAGAATGAAGTATCTGTAATATTTCGTTAACAGATTGGCAGTAATAAACGCCTCACATGACTTTTGAGTCTGAGGTGTGACACCTCAGGAAAAATTCTCTTAGAAAGATGAGGGGCTCTATACAAAAGTCCCTTCACCCATATCCTTCTTCACTAAATCTTTTTCTGTCTCACTCATACCCCGTGCACATGAGTTAATGGATGGCCAACAATGACCCATGATACATTGTTAATGCATGAAGGCAGTGATATAGCATAGATGCCCTGTTATACTGATGGACAAAGTACGTGTAGCCTCGGCTTGCTCCATTGTCTTTTGACATAGAACCTCAAGTCTACAACTGACTCAAGTGCCTCATTGCCAGAGAATGCGCACTGCTAATATAGATACGGAATCACATGTAGCATTCACACCAAACACACGCACGTACACACTCACACAGGCAGGCAGGCATGCAAACTTGCATACATCACATACATGCTTGCTCACTGGACTTGCAATCCGACACACACAAGCAGCCTGACAAAAGGAGCTTATTGATCTCTACTACTCAGTTCCAAAATATGTCCAATAATAATATTAATGATAATAATAATTACTAATAATACCAATAATTATTATCATCCCGTCTCCTCCCTGGAATTGGGACCCACCAACTTTTAGCATAACGTTCTCATCGCTGTACTCTGTTTGTCTCATCCTCGACACACATGTGGACCTTCTGGTGGTTGAGGAGCTCGAACACTTGGCCTCTCTTACACCAGCCACAAATGTAATAGTGATAATACTCACACAAAACAAAACAGAATTAAAAACAAAAAGCCCCACTGTGATCCCATTTATGCAATTTCTGAATGGTTTCCGTAACTTCTACCATAATAGCCTCATTATCAAGCTATGGTTAAAATATAACTTAAAGATCATACTATACAATCAAAGGCAGAATACAAATATGATTGGCTTCCCTTCTGTATATCCAAGGCACCACAGAGCTTCATCTTGTATCAAATTTGTTGCTTTTAGACTAGAACATCATAGAAAATCTATTTCGTGGGCAGGTGTTTTTGACTTGAACAGAAAATCTACACAAAAAAAAAAAAACTAGCAAGCATTGTTCTTTTTCTTTTAAAAGGGCTTGTGTTTTTAACATTTTTGTTCTTTTGTTCTTTTTTTCTGCTTTTAAGAAAATTGAGGGTTTTTTTCATGAAGCATTTTTTTTGTTGTTGTAAATCCTGTGCAATGATGCCATCTGGTGGTTCACAAGTTGACATCGCGGACATCTGTCGGAGTGGAGGATTGATCCAGCTCCTCCAGGCCTTTCCCGCTGGGGCCTCTCTGTGTCTGCTGCTGCTGCTGTAGCTGCTGCTGCCTCCCCTCGCGCAGGCTGCTCACCAACACACGCTCAATCTGCTCCTGGCACTCTTTGAGAACATCCTGCAATGTAAGAAGAGAGGGACGACAAGCTGTAAAAAATATATCCATTTTAATCTGCTAATCGGGGGCAGGACGGTTTCTCGTTTCCAAATCAAGTCAGCTTATTTATTCTTAATTTTGAAATAGTAGAGGGGGGGGGGGGGGTTTATATATACTCATTTTGTACAGTTACATTGCTCGTATTTATTGCAGCTAAAACGTTCAGAATAGTACCACGGTCACTCAATTAGTTTCTGCAACTATCCTCAGTAGTAACAAGAGAAATTTGAAAACTTAAGTCAATGCATGAGTAACGGGGGCCCCTGGTGTGGCAAGAGAGGGGCCCCTGGGCAGCATAGGCCAGAGGTTTTAAATGACCACCGACTTTCTAGCAGCTCCAGCTACTACCAAGGCTGAGCGCAAACACGGACCAGACCCAAGCATTACATCAGCCCACCCCTATAGTACTCGTGCACATACACACAGATGCATTAACACATGCACACCACTTCCTCCCCCATCCAGCCACCCACCTACACCACCTCTGCTATTCCCATCACACACACAAAACCCAAACAGAAGTAGCCTTGACAACGGCGGCTGAAAACACAGGTAGTACTAAAGCTATGTTAATTACATCCACCTCCTGTGGGAACACAAAGGTGGTGCTTTTTTAACGAGAGCCAGTCTGTGTGCCTGCCTGCCTGCAGGGGATCCATCTGAGACCTGGCCCGGCTCGCCTTTCACCATCAAAGGCCGCCGCAGCAACCTGAGAATCCACCTGGGAGAGGAGCCTCTCAACAGCGCTGAGCCCTCATATCCTTCCCTGATGGAGGGTTGACAGAGGGGACAGCGCAGCGCATGAAGCGAGAGCAACTCACTGAGGAGGGGGAGAAATGGGGGAGGGTAAAGGGATAAGAGTGCTAAATGGGTTTTTAGCAAGAGCGTCAGAGAAAGGTCAAACTGATTTTGGGTGAGGAAAAGCAAAGACAATCATTAAAGATATACTGAAGTAAGAGCAGGCTACTGCAACAGAACTTATACGAAATTTCCTGTCTGATAGAGAGTGTTAACGCTGCTCTCTGGTGGTAAAATAAGATAACACAACTGAAGCAGAGTTGCTTGCTTTTACACACACACACACACACACACACACACACACACACACACACACACACCCTACCTTAAAGCACCAGGCGTCTGTGGGAAACATGACTGAGAGCGCCCCATGGCCGGAGGGATGGGTGAAAGTGTGCCGCTTGTGGAGCGGGGAAACATTCTTTAGAAATTTACAGCTAATTTAAACCTGATGGGCCACAGTTTGAGCCTGCATTATAGCTTTTGATGCCTTGAAGAAATGAGACTGAGACCTCACTCACATCAGAATTGCTATTTGGGAGCTGCACACGGGTGAGTGACAAAAAGGTCACAGTGTCAAAGGTCAAACAGCATGCCATGAGTTTCTGACTTCTATCCCAACTTTCTGGTAATGGTCAAATTCTGAACATGTGGCTAATGGAACGTAGGATTTCTGTGCGAGTGGAGGAAGAAATCTATTATATTACACACACACTGACAAAATAACCTAGCCTAGAGGGGTTTCTCTGATATCTGCATGAAGTCTGCATGAAGTAATTCCTGCCTTGACATCTCCTTTATTTTTGAGTTCTCCAGTGATGATTAGCTCGAGAGGGGTTTTTGGGTCACAGTCCATGAAGAATGATTTGATGTTGAGGAGTCTGGACTGATCTGGGCTGGGTGCCTGCGGGAGAAATGTTTCCCCCAGCGATGGGTCTGACGTGGAGGAAACCCGACCAGTGTCCCTTAATCTCCTCCAGAGGTTGGCCGCTTACAAGGGCGTGTGCACACAAAATCTTCCCACCAACATGTGCCCTATTGGTTATAAAATCTCAATTCCTGTGAGAAAATTAAGTAAAGCGAAGAACATGTAAAGGAACTGCCTGTGCCTTACCGCAAGAATGCACGCCTTCACTTTAAAGAAATTCTCCCCCCCGTCTCTGCTGCTCTTTAGAGCGGCAGTTCGGATCCCATGCCAAGCCCCATGGGCTTTATTCAAGAAACTTTAATGACTTCAATGTGTGACTACTGGAAACACCAATACTGTTTTTAGAGAAGCTCAAGGTACTTGGATACTGTGGGGGCCAACAGCACTGAATATGTTGGCCATGGGAGGTAATGCTATACTGAAGCATCTTATTTTGCAGCCTCAACCCAGAAACACACAACCACCTCAGATCCTCCCTTGTTGTTACGGTCCTCCATCTGCCCCACCTCAAACACAGATCATTCTGAAACAATCTGTCTTTCTGACAAATCAAGGCATGCACATTACTGCCCAGGCGGCCTTTGTGAAACTGGTGGTGGTGGTGGTGGTGGGGGGTGGTGGTGGGGGGGGAGTCATGCAGACAGACAAGACCAAAAGGAAGAAATGTGTGAAGCCATGGAATGTGTTTTAACTGCTGACTGTACCACACAAGACAGTGTTCGCTACTTTGGGAGGACTTGGTGGTCAGACAGCAGAAACAAACACACTGGCACACACACATACTGGTGACACACACTACGGATCTCAGGGAATCTTAAGACAAAATATCCAGAGGCTGATCCTGGAAATAAGGAGCCACCACATGACTTGAATTTCCACCAAGTTACAATATAAAGTGTGACCTTTCTCTTTCTTTAGCCTGCATGCCGAAACACCAGAAGTGGTGAAGCCACAGGCTCTGTAAATAGATGGATAATCTTTCCTAATAAATGCATCTTTGTTGCAAGCATTTCGGCTCCAGCACATTACTGGGGAATCACATTTCAACTTCACATCCATCCATTGTGCAAGTTATACTGTTTGACACAATCTCATTGATAGGTAGGCCACAGTGGAAGCCAGAGTGATTCAAAAAAGAAGAATGAAAACAGGAAGAGAGGGAGAAATGGAAAAAAAAAAATCTGTTTCCGGTGTCTTAGTGTGTGACTCTGACCAGAGAAAAAGATGAATGAGAAACTGAGTCAAAGCGATAAAATCTAGGAAGTGGTGGTCTTAAACCCTTAGACTTCTCTAACTTGTTTCCTGTTTTAATCATTCAAGTATACAGGGATGCTCTATATACTAGGCCTACTATCAGTACATACTGTGTTGTACCATATATTCCAGCTTTCTTACTGTCACTACAGATGACCTGTGCCGTTCAGGAGAGCCACACGTGATCGGTCTCCCACTTGAAACACATTCTCACAAATTTCACATTTTCTCTCTGCACATTATGATTTGCCTGTCAGGCACCCTGCCTTGAATGCTGTCCCTTACAGGGAGCCCCCTCTTGGCCACACCAGGTGCATGAAAGGCTACACACATTCTTCCAGCGGCCCAAGATGGTGACTTGGCCATATCACATTTCCACTGGAAAACCACAGCTTCTGGATACCACAGATGCCAGCAGGGTGCCAGGGGGGTGGCGTTGGCTATGATGCTGTTGGCAGCAGCAGCTGCAGAGGTTGGCGAAACTTGCTTTGCCTTCATATTTTGGCTGGCTCTTTGGTCGTCTGGCTACGAGACATAGCTCTACCATCTTGCCGAGCCTCTACACTGCCAAAACCAAATACTGCATGTTATGTGTACACATTCACACATTCTAAGGTTTACGCCACCACCCTGATGACTGCAGTCAAAACTGAGGTTGAGGTGGCCCTTTGGTGTTGAATTGACGTATAAAGTGGTTCAGCTTTTGGGAAAAGAAGCTAGGGTAAGTGTTAAAATGACATAGTCAATCACCATTTCCTTTTTTTTTCTGTGTGAAAGCCTAAATGCTAAACCAGTGACAAACAGTGTCTATATCACTGAAGCCATTTATGAATGCTGACAGCTACCTATGGTCATTAGGCTGTTTTTTTTTTTGTTTTTTTACATTGTACCACAAGTGGTGCACAAGTCTGATTTAAGTAACTTTATAATGCAAAAGTCTACTCTATGTTTTTAGTTTTGGTTGGCCTCTTAACAGTTTATACTAAAGCCTCTCATATATGTTGAATTAGGAAGGTTGCCCTCTGCTTCGCCTCCTGTGTTTACTGCGAGCCATGGCTTGTCTGAATCCAGGAATGTGAGGAGTTGATCACAGAGACACAGCGCGACTTAATTCCCTCAAGTCTAAGACCTTGCAGCCTAAACACACTGAGGCCCTGTGCTGCTGAGGTCAGCTATTTGTTTTTCCTCAGCTGCTGAGGGAGACTTCACACAGCTTGCACCAGAGGGAGCCATGCTTTCCAGCAACGATGCATTATGGACCATAGGAGGAGACGAGAGAGGGTTGATTGTCGTGAGGGAAGCATGATTCCCCCCCCCACCCAGTGTCCTTTTCACACTTCAACAGCTTTCTTCCACCTCTTCCTCCTACTTTGCCTCTTTTGGGGCTGAATTTAACATACTGCTGAGGCTTGGGATCTGTGTCATGCCCTTTGATCTGCTCACTGTGCAGTGAGCACACATGAACTCTAAATGTTCATGTTTAAATTAAGCCTGCTATTACTAACTAAAAGCCTTTTTTATTAAGTTTGGTATTAGGAGTATTCCTGCCCATGCAGTGGCCTCAGAACTGGAGCTGGTCCCTGGGCACTGTGCTGCCCACCGCTCCTGAATAGTTAGGATGGGTCAAATAAGACTAAAAAATAAAAACTTAACTCGACTTATCATCTCACAGTCTCACTCTCCTTACCCTCTGCAGCTTTGCCCACCTACTCACCCTCACAGCGAGCTATAGCAAGCTGAAGCCCTCTCCCATCTGCCTGATGAAAGCCAGGCATCTCAGAGTCAGTAGAGGCCCTGCCTGTGTTTGGACTCAACTCACCCACCGCTGCAACATTCACTGTACCCAGACAGCCACACAACGGCCTGGCCAGCATTCCTGTCAGCGACAGAGCATACTGTATATGCTCTCAACCTGGCTCGATTTAGAGGATTCTTTATATGAGGGGCCCCTGAGTAGCCTGACCGGACTAATGGAGAGGAAAAGAATCCTGCCATATGCTACCTGTAAGTCCAGTCAAGTGTGTGACGGAAGAGATGGGACATAAACATAGTTCAGAATTTCTTTTAATGAAGACGTTTTTGGTTTGATGGTTGTTTTTATTTTTTCTTCTCATTACAAATACTGGCAGTAAATCCCCCCCAAGAATGTGTTTGTGGAAAGCCAAATATGTGTGTGACATTACAACATTCAGCTTCTGTCAACACAACCTCAACAAACGTGTCATTTCTTAACTTTTGACATCATTAACAGGGATATTTTTCCTCAGAGAAGTAGCAAGACAGAAAAAAAAGTCTGTATTTGCTTGTTAACAGATTGTGAGATAAAAACTGAATGAAGAGATTAAAAGCTTCCAACAACAGAAGCAGATGATTCAGCTTTGAATCATGGTTACCGTAATAACTGTACTTTGATAAATACCAGTGAACACCTAACTGTTGTCAGCAGAGATACTAACGCAGAGACATGTACTCCTCCTCATTCAAATATTACTCAGAAACATTCCCCCAAATTTTCCAGACACAAAGTGTTAAGCTCTAAGCTAAACGCTGACTAACAAGAACAAGAACACACTGGATTTCAGTGTTTTGAACTCAGTTCTTGTTTAGAAAAAAATAAAACATATAACCAAGCTGCTGTGTTCTGGATGTGACTGAGGAGTATAATACCAACTCACCACTTCTGTGTTTGTGATTTTGGCCAGCAGGTCTGTCAGACTGTCGCCCCACTGTGACTGGTCAGCTGAATCCAGCTGTAGGCCGCATATCGCTGCCCCCACACTTCCTGTGGCAATCATGGAGGGAGGGTACATGGCGAACCTAAAATCTGTCAGAGAAAGAAAAACTAATTGAGTTAAATGTGTCTTCAGTGCTATTACTTTGTAAATGATAAGATGCATTGTTGTTACGTTAAGTAAGGAGCTAAAATCTTTAGTTCAGTGAATAACACAACAATTTATACTGGACTCTTGAGCCACCTGGTGATATTTCTAAATTGCACTTTACAGTTCATATGGTCCACAAAAATGGTACAGATACGTCCTTTCCAGAGACAATATGATTTATTAATCTAGCAGTCAGCTAATAAATATTTCTTCTTTTGCACCAGGTCTGAACGCAGCGTTTACTAATGACCAGGGGCCTGGATAATGAGGGTTCACTTGGCTTGTAAAGGAGCTGAAAAGCAACCACCCTCACCCACTCCCCACCCCAGTCCCCCTTTCCCCAGCCCGGCCCCTTTTCTTCCATCTCCTGAGTAAATCGTGTGCTCGCTGAAAAAAGCCCCATAGCGCTTGGAAAGGGAGGAATAAAGAGGCTCAGTGCCTCTGCCAATGCTCACTGCTGTAGGTCCTTTTTCCACGTGTGGTCACAGGCGTGCGTCTCAAAGACCAATAACCTTGTTAGCTCCCCTCACTGTCATTCATAATGCAAATGAGACAGCTTGTGAACGGGCCAGAAGCCCGAAAAGGCAAAGCAACTGGCATACAGGGAGAGAGCAAGGGAGACAGACAGACAGACAGACAGGGAGAGAGAGTTTTTCTCCACACACACACACACACACACACACACACGCGCGCTCCTTTCTCTATTCTCTCTTTATGTCTTGCTCAACTTCTACCTTTCTTTTTGGACAACACATGGCCTGCTTAGATGGGGCCAGTGAATGGCACACATGCCCTAGTCTTTGTTGCTACAACAGGCAGTGGTTTGCATTGGCGGCCCTCCTATCTTTTAGCATATTAATAGAGTAGCAGGCCTGCGAGAGGGAAGGCAGAAGAGTGTGACTCCATTGTCCAGAGTCATCACCTCATTTCACCCAATTGAGAGACACAGCATCCATCCCCTCTCTGCTGATACCAATTCAGGGAGACAGGCTGGACAAAGAGCGTGGCTGGACGGGGGGGACAAGAGGTCGACGGGGGGAGGAAGATGAAGAAGGAGAAATGGACGGTATGGCGACAAGGCAACAAGGAGAAAAGAAGGGGAAGGTGGTGGGCTTGGCGGGAGAGGAGAGGGTGTAGACAACTCTGATGCACATCACTCTCAAGTCTGTGTCCAGACTCTTGTGAGGTTTTGGAAAAAGAAAAGAGTCGCCCTCCAGCGACCCTAACCTCCCCCCCACCCCCCACAAGTATGCCTCTGTTCCTGGGCCACCTATGGGCCAAAGGAGTGGGCAGTGGGGGCATAGAAACAGCCTGCACATTAACATATTGCCATATTCAATTGCAAAGCAAACTGTGTGTGATGGCTCTGAAGGAGATTTTTCTTCCTTCTTTTTTTATGTCTGGAATCAAAGAGGTAGGCCCTTTGATAGCTGTAAAGGCAGCCCCACACTGCCTTTTTAACATGCACAGCCAGGCGCTTTCTCATCTTGTGGGCTCAGTGTTGACAAATAAATGAACTTATTATACACCCCTGTGTTAGCCGCTGGGCCTCTGCCAAGGGGCGATTTATTAAAGGCTACTTCGAGCCAAGAGGAAAGAGCACACAAAGCCCTTCAGCATTACATCACTGCTGTAAGAGCACAACTTTCTATAGAGGGCTAAAAGGACAAAGGCATACACGGATTTACTGTACGTATGTAGTGAGCGCAGACTGACAGGCAAAGAGGCAGACCCCTAAGAGACACAGGCAAGTAATAATGCACTGATGCATGCGCTTGCTTTAACATGCAGACACAGACCGACACACACACACACACACACACACACACACACACAGCACAGACATAGGTTTGTGGGAGAGCTGAGTGGTGGGCAGTGGGCAGCAAGCGGATTTTTCGCACTCAAGACAAGACAGGTCTGTAGCAGAACAAGGACGCGCGCGTGCAGCCGATGCGGGCTGACACTCCGGCCTGGTGGATGCTGCATGTGGGGGGAAGAATGGCCGTATTTTAGGAGGCCCTCATTGATATTCATGTTGAGGATAAACAGTGTATGTAGCTGAGTGGGGACGCCTGCGATGGAAAGCTCCCCGTGAGCAGCGGCTGGCTGGCCTGGCCTGCACGCCTCTCACCCCCTTCAATGGCCCTTTCTCCTCCTGGTGCCCCCTCATCTCCATTCCTCCGTGTTCCTACCCCCTGAAACTTCTCCTCAGGCCTCTGGTCACACAGTTTGCTGCCCTACATGGCCCACTCCTCTTGGGTGGCTGCAATGCACAGTATGCACATTAAACTTGTAAATTAATTAAAGTTGGAAAGTTGAACAACGGCCAAAAGAAGAAAGAAAAAAAAAAAAAAAAAAACCAAACTCTCCCTTTCACCCTCTCCTCTCTTTCCAGTGCTATAAATCAGGGTCTTGTATTCTATACATGTAGCGCTTATTGACCTTGTTTATTAAAGGAGAAGCGTTACAAGGACCCAGGGCCTGTTGACTGATTAAGGCCAAAAACAAACATAATTTTGGGACTGGAACGACAGTATGTTTCACCACTAATGCAACATAGCCTGGTAGTCAAAACAAGGTCTGTAGGGAGCTACTCAGATGGCACACCTACACGCACAACAACAACTTCCCAACTGGGTTTGAGGAGTTCTTCTACATGTAACAAGGGGAGAAATCACTGATTAAGAAACGATAACTTGATACTGCTATCTGTCATATTTCATTACCTCTTGTTCCAGACTGTCACTCTGGAGACAAACAGCAAACCAAACTTGGGAGAGTCTGAGTCACGCACCATACTCACACTGTGATTTCAACTCATCTGCCAGAAAACAGAATTCCTTCTTAATTGTAGCATCCTGTGACAGCTCTCTTCGACCTTGCACCATCATCTCCACTGTCACAGCTGCAGTCTTGAGGCACTGGTAATCTCAGTGATGAGGAGCATACAGATTTGGATCAGGTCAAAAAGGTGTGATGCAGGAGCAATATTCAAAAAACCTTCTCTGTCGATCTCTGTATCTCTGATTTGGGCAAGAAGTTATTAAAAAAAAGAAAAAAGTTGCCACAGCTGCCGCTAACGTTCACTTTACTTCAAACCACAAATATTAGTCTTTGTGGTTAGCGGGACCTCCAAGGTAAACATGTAATGCTTAAAAACATTTTGAGTTGAGTTGACCTTTCTGGTGGGATAATTGCAGCATCCAAAGCAAAAATCTCTTTCTTTGTGTTTCTGGCTGACTCAGCTGGCCACAGTATTTATAGTGTGGTGCTGATTACACCAGTGAGGTGAGGCGGGGGGGCGGGGGGGGACTCAGAACTCAGGACATGCCATGCCGTGACTCACTCTGTGTGTCACATTTTTGGGGGCATACTGTCAGGAAGCTCTTTCCTGCTTTCATGTGTTGACGATGCAGTCGGACCGGACATGACTCCTCACATCACTGGAGCGTGTGGAAGGATGATAATTTGTTGGAGGAGGTGGCTAATTTGTTGGGGTTCTGAATCATCAAACATGAAGGGAGTTTTGTGTAAACAAACACCAGTAAAGACCATTTCACTGACCACATCTGAGATGAATCATCTCTAGAACGCGGAGCTCAGCCTGGAGGGGATTCTCCGTGCAGCAGCAACTTGGAGAAGAAGATACAAGGAGCATTCCAGCCTCTGGACCAGTGAGACTTAACAGCGAAAGTAAAAAGAGGACTTACAAATCATTTGAGAATGTTTGACTGGTCACTGTTGCATAAAAATGGGTACATTTGCCTATAGTTTGTCTCTTCCTGCATAAACAAAAATCACACAGCGTGGAGAGACGTGTAGGAAACAAAAAACTTTGTAGAGACAAAACCTACATCTGTCACGCTCTGATGACAGCTTTGGGTAGCTCTGCTGATCCTCCATGCATATCTACATTATTTTAAAATAAAATTGAAATATAGTGGAAGAACTGTATGTGAGCATAACACAACAAACAAATCAGTGGAATACACAATTTAAAGCCCAGCTAAAAAACAAACAAACAAACAACAAAAGGCTTATTTTCATGACAACTCTACAGTAAAAAGTGACCTTACACAAGAAGGAATGTGAACCCATGCAGCAAAGCTCGACTTCTCTCATGTTTGTTACCGGGTGAATCATTAGTTTGTCTCAGAAAAAAACAACAACTAACCAGTTAATCATCAAGTTAATTCACACAGTCCAAAGACACTTCCACACACCAGAAAAACAAAGTAATCAAATACTATTCTGAGATTAAAGAGCGAGTACTCAGTTACTTAAATCACTTGTTATTTACATCCCAACTTGTAGCAACATCTTCACTGTGTCCCCCATGACAATTGACTCTCTTGGACAGCTCTGTTGGCCCTGATCCAGAATTTTCTTTTGATCAACTTCTATGACTATTGTCACCATTCCATGCATACCATTACAGAGAGGGCTATTGGAGTTGGTATGAAAAAAAAAAAATAGACCATAATCCCTGCCAATATGGCACGAAGACGGAGCTCAATAACCGTGGCAGGCAGGTTGGGGTGCATCTGTCGGCCCCATGCACCCCATCTATTCTCCCACTTTACCTCGATTGAATAAGAATAGAAGAGGAAGCTCGGAGTGCTTGGTGTCTGTGTGTAGGAATGGAGGTTCATAATCTCCCTTAATGAGCTTGTTTCTGGGCTATTATCCGGCGGCCTGCCTGAGGGAAACGCTGGTGTTTCCTATCAAGTGGCCCCGCAGCGCTGACCCTCGCATGGCTCTGCATATGAAATGTAAGGGCCAAGCCTTTTGTCTCCTTTCTCCCAGCCTCTAGCTGAGCTCCCAATCCATTTGCATAGTCCTGAAAGGACCAGCCAATGTTATTAATTAATACAGAGCCAGCCTGCGCCACCTGACAAAATCCCACCGAGTGGCCCGAACGGAACTGTTTCATCAAAAGAGAGGAGCCATTAGGAATGAGAGGCCTTATTCTCCACTTCTCCTCTTCTCTCTCTTGTTCCCTTGAAAACAGAGAGCCGTGGTTTTATGCATGTTTTCTTTTTCAGTATAGGAGCAGCAGTGGTGGGGGTACTGGTGGGAGGTGGGTTGAATGAGACTGTATGAAATAGGAAGGCCACAGGTGACCCGTTGTCAACTGTCTTGCAAATGTAAATCCTCCTGAGAGATCTCCTCCTTCGGCTGTGTCTTCACCTTCTCAGCTCCGCTCAGAGGATGTCTCAAGGAGGACTCTCACCAGATAACCCAAAGATTTACGGCTGGGAACGTTCCACAAATGGGGTTTCGAATTCCCAGAGATCTTCAGATGCACCAAATTGTTGACTCACTCGCGCTCTCTCTTTCTCCGTCTTGCCCTTGCTCTCTGTTTGCCTGGATACAAGTGTGAGGAGAGCATACACAGATAAATGGCCTGTTGCTAATCCAGAGCTATCTCCAGAAAGTTGCTCTCCTAAAACACAATGTCAGGAGGACGACTCCAGGAGGCTCGTAAATTTATTTCCACTGCCTCATTGAAGCAATTAAGGACAAAGTGCATGCTGAGTCTTTCACAATGTTGCTTTGGGAATAGGTCCGATCACTGACGCGCTGTCATTCCACTCATTAATCCGCTGGCATAAAATAGAGAGACGTGGGGTGAGACAGGGAGAAGGAGAGAGCAAGAGAGAGTGAAGGAAAGGGACAGAGAAAGAGAGAAAACAGGCGTTTCTTCTTCAAAACTTTGCAAACATTAACTTTCGCTGCAAACTTCCCTCACCCTTTCATATCCATTGCACAATCCGTGCAGGGGATTCCATCACTTTATGTTGTAAATACATGTCACCTCCCTGGTATCTATTCATCTAACTATACACACACACTCCTCTGACTGGTGTCAGCACAAGGAGCTATTTCCCATGAGGGGGTGTAGTTAGCAATCCTGTTTGAGGCCTGCAGAAAAGGAAGCTCCTGGTGGTGGTGGGGGTCACACAGAAAGTGAGAAAGGAGGGAGTGTCAAACAGTCTTATTGTGGGTGGATTGTGAATTTCCCTCATTAATGTTAAGATAAATCCTGACGCACGTGCAGGACTAGTAGTTAGTAGCTACTTTTCAATCACTACCCCGTGTCTTGTTTATAGCTTTGAATGTGGAATGCTGCAGGTGACGCAAACAGGAGAAACCTGCCCTATATTGAATCTCAACATGGGAAAGCTATCATGTCCTCTAGCTGTAGGGTGGGGAGGCGTGAGAAGTTAGGGGGGGAGAGAAAGAGGGAAGGAAGGCAGCAGGGGAAAGAGATATGAAAACATGACATGCCTTAGAATTGGCAGTGCAAAAACAATACACTCCACTGGCTTCCCCTAACTCCCCTGTTCCCTGCTGCATCTTCTCCGTCTCAACCTTGCTGTCTCTTCAGATCATGTTAAAGGCTCCCTGTCCCTCCCACGACTCGCTGGATGTTTGATCTTGGGTGAACAATTCACCTCAAGAGCAGAGAGACAATGGCCTGCCTGCCTCCACCCCTGCCCATTCCTCTTCTCGACCCTGTGCGACATGGGAATGCCCATCATCCAGTCTGAACCAGCTTTGAAGTGTTACTGGATGCTCTGGAAGCCACTGATATGCCTCTAAAACATGACCACATACAAGCCTGGGAGAAGACAAATGATGGATGTCAGACTGAAGAGTCTAACGCTGAAATCTTCCATGACACACGCTTTTCTTGGGAATAATATTTTCCCATTGGAGGGAATGCATCTCACTTCAGTTACTGCGGGCCGTGACTGGCCCACAGCACACCTCTGAACAGAGCTGTTGCCGCATGTTATTGAGAGAAGATGGCTTTTTATACGGTGCTGAAAGAAGAATGTGAAGATAAAGATATTTTGCAACATGAGAAAGTATGTTGATGCAAGCCATTATCGCTTGGTTTGACTTGGCAGCTTATCCATGATCAGTGTCACTTGCAACACCAAACAGAAAAAAGAAAAAGAAAAAATACAAAGACACAATATCAAGATGACTCTCTGTATGGTCACCTTTTGGATCGGTTTCTCCAATTAAACATCACAATTCATTAGCACAAACATCTGTTAATAATAATCAGGACTTTAAATGTGTGTGACATGAGCTCCTATTGTGTCCTACCTGTGGCACAGAGGGCAATGAAGGTCTGGACATGTTTGCGTATAAGTGCCAGCTTATCCTCGGGCAGCGGCAGCCTCCTCACAATGTGCTCGATGAAATCGTTTGGCGTTACTGCTGCCAAGTTCCACTTCAACTTCCCCAACACCACCAGTTCCCACTCCTGGAGAGAGAGAGAGAGAGACGGAGAGGGAGAGTAGAAAGCAGAGAGAGATAACCGAAAATGAGAAAGGCTAACAAAGATAAAGTGACACAAAGTACGACCACATATTTACATACTGTAGCAGTACACTCAGCTACAATGCTGCACTTTACTGCCAATTACACTGCGGCCTAAAGTGAGTGAGCTTGCCTCTGTAAGTCCCTGGCCCCGTACGTTAGTATGTATGGAGGTTAAGCATTATAGTTATTACGTTAGTCTCCGCTTGGCCAGGCCTGGGACAGAGAAACACCAGCAGCGCCACCAACCCAGGTGACCTCACAACACTGTCTCCCTCTCCGTCTGTCTGTCTGGCATCTGGGGACTTTCCTAAAGAGGCCCACCAGAGGTTCTACTGTGTGTGAGTGTGTATGTGTGTCATTGAATGGATAGGAAGCTGTGCTTGTTGAGCAGGATCGGCAATAAATCTGTGTTGTTACAAAGTTAAACTGTATTTCATCAATTAATCTCATTTCAACTATCAAAACCCTTTGTTGTATGTTGCAACAGGGAATTGTGATTATTTTCTTCATTGCATCTTGTGTTTTGCTGCCAGTTCTGTTAAAGCCCTTTGGTACTTGTCAATGAATTCAGCCTTTAAACGCATATTCCTTTGCATTCTGCATATATACACAACATTAAGTGCCTCATTTAGTTAAATACTTTATTTTAAATTGCTTTCAACATATATTTCTGTATCATGGGAAAGATAAACCTTGGGCATCGTTTGATGGGAACAGCTTGCAATCAATGAACTGCTATGAACTTCACCAGTCGTTCAAAGCGGATCTCTCGCTGAAATGTGATGACACACGCTAGTGGAGATGAGTGTGGGGGGACACTAGGTGTGGTGTTCTCTTCTCTTAGAGTGTATTGTTACTTTCACTTCCTAGGAGGAGGAGGAGGTGATTAACGGAAGAGTTGGTGACTAATTTGGGAAAGAATTTTGTGGTTTGGTTCCGGACTGCAGCCTTGTGACTGGGACCATGGATGCTCTTCATTTTCCCTTTCTCACACACAGAGAGAGAGAGAGAGAGAGAGAGAGAGAGAGAGAGAGAGAGAGAGAGAGAGAGAGAGAGAGAGAGACCACATGGACTCAGTCATGGCACAATTCAACATGGCTGCCACTGACCATGCTACCAGCCTGCCGTTTTCTAATCAAAGTGACCTTTTTCAGCCTTGTAATGTTCTGATCTCCTAGATGCCAGTGGACATGGACAGCGGGGAGAAAAGGGCTTTTTTAAAACCAAAGATTCTGTTAATACCCACAGTTACTCATGTGGGAGGAAATGAGAAAATAAACCTCCGATTTAAATGTATCTTCCTGTGCTAGCTTGGGGATGTGTAACCAGTATCTCAAAGATTCAATGATGTGATCATTTGCAAATCACAATGACCAGAAGTGGTTTGTTGACTGAGGCTGCTCTAAAGTGAGGAAAATTCAGGCCTACAACGGGGACTATATGGCAAACCTTGCAACATAGACTCTATGCTGACAGAGTGGCAGGCAGTCAGGCACCCACTTCCTTCTGCTACTGCCTTCCTCTGGTCACACCTTCTTTGTAACATTGCGGTTCTCTTTACAAGAAATTGTTACCAAAGACGAGGACAAAAACGATCACATGCCCTGAGCAGCTGATCTCCGTTTCCTGTATCTGCATGTAAGCCAAAATACTGCCTTATACAGAAACAGTGAGATGAGGCCCCAGCAAACCAGTTCAAGGACTGAGGGCTTTGTCTTCAGACTGAACATAAAGGTAGGACGCCAACAGTACAGCACTGTATCTTTCTAATGCTGTCTGTTTACTTGTCAAACTTAGAACCATAATATGCTGACCACTGAAGCCCTCGCTGAAGAGAGGGGAAATTCAATCTGACACAATATTCCCAGGCAGAATTACATTCCAGAAAATGATCAGAAACCAACAGCAGCTTGTCAGGAAATCGAATATACTGCAGAAATCAGCTCAGTGAGTAGAGCCGCCAGTCAGGCAGCGAGGCAGGTCTACAACCATCAGCCACGTCGGAATCATAATATGTGGCCTCTTTCACAACATGGGTGGGATTGGCTGTTGTTTACTGAGGAATGTTTATGTAGCACCACAGAGCAGTGGGGAAACACTTATCTGATGTGAAACTGAGTTAATTAATTGGTTTGTGCTGGTGAAGGCAGCCGGTATTATCAGGCCAAATAGGCCTTATCAAATGTAGGACACAGAGGAATGACAATTTTTCACTCCAAATGACACACACTCCACCCTGCGTCACCAGTTACATGTATAATTGTGACTGTAAGCTACACTTCTGCGTTGAAATGTGTGAGAGTCAAGAAACAGTGCAGCATGACATAATATCAGAAATGTGTGCATCCGTGGTTATTTTTGGATGAAAGCTAAGCTGTAAAAGGCAAACTTGAATTTCTCTGTGTCTCTCCCTCTCTAGCTGACAGGAACAGAGTCAAAACTTTGGCTGGAGTTCAAGCTGACCTCGTTGCTCCGTGCAAATATTTGCCACTAGATGGCGATGGAGACCATTACACAGACTGGATTGGATACTGTAAAGCCCTGAGGGTCCTGTACAGTAAAGAGAGCCCTTGTGGAAGAATTTACTGTGAGGCTTTTGCTTTTAATGCACCTTTTGATGACGACAGAGTCCAAAGTGGAGACTGGACAAAAGATTGAGTGAAATGTAAACAGCGCCTGTGTTTAGTATGTGATGTTTTGAGCTCAGTGACTAAAATGAACATATTTGAATAAATGAATACCTTAAAGCAAGTGATATAAAACCATAAGCAAACATGATGTAGGAAAAAAGACAACAATATATCATGACCAGCTGATGATGACGGGATGAATCCTCTGAATTTTGTGAAATGTTTCTTACCAGCAGCTCTTGTGGTCTGATGGAGTTATCTGTGTAGATGCAAAGCTTCTCTGCGGTTAATGGACGAGTCTCTTTCAATTTGGATGCAAGAAACATGCACACTGCTCCCAGCAGCTGCAGGTTACACTTTTTGGTGGGTACCACGGCTAAAAATCTGTCTAAGTAGTTCATGGCCAAGGGAAAAACTTCTTCCTCGCACTTCTGCTCCTCACAAACCTGAATAAAGACACAACAGACAATGCAGCAATGTTCAGAATTTGGGATCAGTAACCCACCCTGCAGAAACCTGACTTATTTTACAGCACTTGAAATGTGTATAAAACTTTTATGACATCACGAAACAAAAGTCGAAATCACATAAAGAGCAGATATAAATTCAATGAAACACATAGTTGGGGGCCAGCCAAGAATATGCGCCCAGCCCTAATCGGTTGCGACATCATAAATTAATTCGAAATAGATAATTTTACAAAGACTGAAATGAGTCTCAGACACATAGTGTCAATAGAGTCGCATTCCTGCAGTTCATTCACTAAGAAATGAATTCAAGTCACAATCAGCCGAGCCAAAAAACACCCCGACAGCGCAGCACACGGAAACACTTTTTTTTCATTCGTCATATTTTCATAAAATAATTAAAAATATAAATAAATTGTCTAGACCGATTTTCTTCGCATCATAATGTTCAGGGGGGTCTTCCACGCCATACCCGACAATTCATATCCAAATCCACGCACGATAAATACGAATAAAATGTCAAAATAAAAGGCGAGTAGCAAGAGGCTGGTCTGTTGTGCGTCACCGCCGAACCGATATATTTATTTCAAAAATTAATTAAAAATCTCCAGCGGGTCGGACCCTGACAATATGTACATGAAAATAAAGATCGAAGGCTCGAGATTGTTTACAGGTGGATGTCGAGCAGAAATATTTGACGAAGTGTCAAAAATCGAACATAATTCCAGAGTGAGGCATTGCGACGGGGAGAAGACCAAAAGAACAGATAAGGCCCTCGCCCCTTCCGACATTTAAAATAGATACCTAAAATGTTCGCAACGCTTTTTGTGATCATTTCTATATTCAGCGGACACCCAAGACCCTCCTCTGTCATTGGCGATGGGTTTTAACCGCTGTTATTGCGTTTATGACACTGTAAAGTCCTCTTAAAAGGACAAGCGCTCCTGTAAAAACCAACATGGCGATAGAACAGCGCTGGCCATTGCATTGGGGAGTGCATACGTGTGCATGGAAATATTCAGGCTATCTAAAATAATAACATTAAAGAATCAATGGGTAGCTTGTACTGACAACATGCGAGGCATAGGCTATAAAAGAAATTCTCTGCTGTCACATGTATATCACCGCTCGAAGTTTCATAACCAGTGTTCATGACCGGACTTTAAAAACGGCAAGAAACGACAGAAAACGACACATTTGCTTAATATGAGGACTAAGCAGTCGGAAATGAGAGCAACGCGTCTTATCTACTGTCCAAAAATTGCAAACAGCGCCCAGTAGAGCAGTAATGAAACAAATCAGGAGGTTTTAAAGTCGAGCACGGAAATAATAAGACTTGTCAGCACTCGGTGTTTCGGTATACCTCCAACATCCAAGTAGCGACCATCCTCCTCATAAACGGCTGAATATCTTTCTGGACGCCTTTGAAATAGGAATATTGGGGTAGAAACCTCTCTTCTATGGTCAACAAGCTCTGCAGGACTCTGTCATCGTACAGGAGGTTCGGATCGGGACGAGCTCGTATGATGGTGTCCATTTCGAGGCAGAGCAGCTCCATGGTGCTGCTGCTTTCACTTAAGCAAAAAAGTAGGATTTCTCTCTCGGAATCGTAAAAGCGGTGTTGAAGAGCAAAAATGCAAAAGGATGGCAGGGAAAGTATTTTAGAGGCATAAAAAGCGAGACTGCAGGGGCTCAGTAAGAGTAGTCCTGCCTCTCCTTGTTGAGAACTTTTTCCTCTCTCCCCACAGTGCGCCTCTACTTTCATCCGCCTGGGCAGATCAGGCGCATTTCAAGCCTGCCCTACATGCGCCACTGACGCAATTCACATTACCTCTGTATAGACCAGACGCAACATGCTTAACTCCAGTCCCTTTCTTCTATCCTGACATGCGAAAGAACTTTCTGTAAACTTGTTGCATTTCAAAATTTAAAAGGCTGAAAGGTAGACGCACAATGATGCAATGAAAGGTGCAGAATGAATGCATCGAAACTCGATTTTAACCAGCTTTTGTCGCATTTACCGACTGTTTTAGGCTGAAATAAACCAATTACATAAATTCTCTGTATATATAAAAGTATGTGACTGATTAATACTTACTTCCAACATGGTTCTTTCAGGTAAAATAGATGCTTTCTGCGTTTTAATAGATGTATGTCTTTATTGTGGTGCTTTATTGTCTTATGATGACAGTTAGTGAGGTACATAATAATGTCATTTGACACAACATAAATAAATGTCTTACTGATTGTTGCATTATTATTACGCACATTTTCAGCATTAAAAACGCCTACAAGTAACCAACTTTACTTGCTAAGGTACAGCAAGTGCCCCCTTGTGAAAGTAATCTGAATATTAGTTTGGATTATAAAGAAAAAAAATCCAAACCGACCAATTCGTGTTGCTTCCTTCTTATAGCAACTTGTCTGCCAGCTTTGTCATATGGACTCATTGAACCTCTGTGCAGAGCATGACGCATAGATACTGTAGCCTATGTATGTGGCTAAACACGGCGTGCTAACTTACAGAGGCGTGTGCGCGCTTGGACACGCGCATAGGACAGACCTACCCACTCTCTCACACACACACACACACACACACACACACACACACACACACACACACAATCTTATACGAACAACTTTTTTATTACAGCCGCAAACTGTTTGTGGTTTATGATAGCTTTCTAGGAAATTTGAGGCAGCGTTGGATTTTTTTCTATTTTTTTTTTTTTTGCATAATCTTCTGTTAAAGATAACACAAAGATGAGAGTCACTGGCTTTGCTCAACCCCAATAATATCAACCAATTTAACAATTCCTGTCACAAATCACAATTTTTTCCCCATCGGGCTTCTGTAATAATTTACATGGAAAAACAAGCAGGTGGAAACGAAGCTGAGAATGTAAGTCATTGAGCAGATAATTAAAAAATGACTGCCAAATGATTTAGCCTCACATACAGTCACAAAGAGAATCTGCATGGGTAAATATGTTAATCCCCCTCCTATTCTTAGTCAACTTCAAAGACTGAGCCTTGAATGAAACGAGACTTCAGTGCGTCAGGGGAAGATTGGGGACTGTAAAGTCCTCAGAGCTGCTAATTTCCATCCGAAGCTTGTTGGCTATATAGGCATGCTTGTGTGAAAAGTGGGGGAAATGTCTCTTTAAAGTTTTTTTTCCCAGTCTTAGTTGTTTCCTCCTCCCTGTATATTTGCATAGCCAATAGTTCCTCAGCGCTCGACCGAGGCTGTGCGATTGTTACTGGGCAGACTTCTTCTACACCTTCCTCCCTCTCTCTCCTCCTTCCACTGCTGTGGTCATTTATCAGTCTCACCCCTTAAAGGGTGTCGCTGCAGCTTAAACAGCATTTCTGACATGCACATCAGAGTGTCTTGAGTGGCATCATGTAGGATTGAAGTTTAATGAATTTATGTTAGGTCAGAAAAGACTTAATCTTCATCAGTTAGTCTCATTTACAGAGTTAAACATAGAACACAGAAAGACTTTGCGACGGGAGCGACACATCATCTCTCTCAGTGCATACTGGATAGCTGATGACATTTCTAGAAACAAGTGTTTGTAACTTGAAACAAGGTAGAATGAGATCACCCCTCTGAAATCAACACAAAGACTCCTAAATCAAGAAAATTAATGAAAGTTAGAATTTTGTAGGAAGAAAAAACTTATTATTTCATCCTTTGTGGTAGATTCTTTACACTGAAATTATAATAATTTCAACACTCTATAATATGTTCGATTAAGTATTAAAATGTAAAGTTTTCAGTTCCTTAAGGCACCAACACGTGTAATCCTCTCTTGACAAGTATAGGCTACACTTACAAAGATCATGGTTGTACTTGGATGCACAGAAGGCTGAAATTAAATTTACTAAGAGATGTGCTGTTTCTGATAAAATGGACTACTTAACAGGATGTTAAAGGAGCCAAACAGAATCAAACGTGTTGCTGCGGTGGAGAGGCAGATGCTCCAAATCCTCCTCCACGTCCAGCTCCATCAGCTGCCTCCAGCTCACCAGGATGCGCAATTACGCACATCAGAGCCACCATACTCTGGCATTTAACCACAGGCTGATGACAGCAATGGCCACGTTTGCTTTGTTACAGGCAAGGGAGTAATTTAAAGCGTGCATTTAAAATTTAAAATTCATGCCAATTCAAAGTTTTAAGTTGCTTGTTTCATCAAGTAAAATCTTTTTTAAAAAACGCTGATAATATAATCAAGAAAGTATTAAACGAGGTTCATTGCACTTTTTCAAACACATAAGACATACTACTGTATTAACATACTTGTCAATACGTTTTTTTTTTTTTTTTTTCTGCAGCTCCTTCTGCAGCGGAACAGTGACGCCAGCGGCTCTTATGAGTGAGATCAGAAGCAGCAGCGCGTTTTGTCCCCGGAAGCATTCAATTACCATATCAGAATAAAATCGGAACACACCCCATAAGTTAGACATGTTACAAAGTTATCACACTATACACTCAAATGTATACTGGGAGGGGGGAGAGTCAATTTATAATGAAGTTTGAATAATGAAACTCTTGCGCGGCACACTGCAAGAAATATACGTCGGGTCAAATTAATTTATACAGTATTGAGTTTTGAAGTTTTTGAGTTTTTTCTTTACTAAATGTTTACAGAGAGCATTGGATAAGTCCACTAGTATGCAGCTTAAAAGTCATATATTCTGGAAAGCAGTGGAGGGATCTGCTTTCATCATGCTTTGTTTAAGTGACAGATGACTCCTGAAAAGAACCCCCCCCCGAAATTAGTGGCTTAAAAACAAGCAAAATTATTTAGCTCTACATGTGGATTTTCTCCGCTTTGTTTTGATTAAAAATAACATTTAAAGACGTGATTAAAAGAGCAAGGGTGGCCACTTTTTGCAGTGAGGATCGACCGGTGACTCATCATCACCGCACCTTTCACAGTTTAAATCACCGTTACAACGACCATTAAAGA